TTGACCTTGGTTGCGGTCTATTTATTTTTCACCCACAATGTTGTCTTCCTGAACATCTTGTCTCATCTCAAAGTCTCAGCTAGCTGGGGTGGTATTAAAAATTTTACGTACCCATTGAAACCTGATAAAAAGAATTGGACACAATTATCTAGTTAAAGCAAACCTACATGGATTTCCAGTTGTTTGGAGTACAATTTACACCCTATTTTCACATACATTATTTCATTTAATCCCCTTCCTAAATCGCTCTGGTGGAACCACACTTATTAGAAGGGATTATCTCAAAACAGTACTCAGTTGCCCTGTACTTGAACTCAGAATTTTTAATTATAACTCCAGGATTCATTCCCTCATACCAAAATATTTCACAATACTTTTTCTATCAAAATCACAGCCAGTTATGATAACTGCAGGTCCTTTCAAACAGTCAACACAACTCCTGCTGAAGTGATCTATGCTAAGTGGAATTGTTTTCCTAAGAAAAAGCAAATTTTTTTCTTTCCAGTGGGAAGACAGAAGGTTTTGGGGGGCTCCAAACTAAGAATTGATGGTGATATCAAAACATATTTTAAACCATATGTCCTCTATTCTCCTTTATCTTAGCTTACAATCTTGATTTTATAAAGATCAAAATGGATAAAAGGTTTTCACCATGAAAACATGAATTGAGAGAGAGAGAGAGGTAGAGAGAGAGAGAGAATTCTCTTTACAATAGGCTTTGGATACAATGGCTCATTTTTTTCCTCTAAGATTTATGAATCTTGAAGAATATTTGGCCACCTTCACTACTTAAACAATGAGGCATATTGAAGCCATTTCAGTGGCTTCATGGAATTACAAAACTATTGAAATGCAAATGTAGATGCTGTCTTTAAACTTCACATTGCCCTGTCATCAACCCTCTGAAAATGCAGATGACTGTCTGAAAATTGGAGAAAGATGAATGCTAAATATCTTTGGTGAGTTGTTCATGCAGAGACCCAACACCAGAAACCATAACAACTTAAAAAATTGGATCCAGGTAGTTTAGCAGACTAGCTTTTCACAGTGTCTGTAAATGGTCAGATACTAAAGCTAAAATTTTGCAAATTGTGAAACATGTTCTGATTCACACTACTAAAACCTTTGAAATGGCAATCTGTTCCTAGAATAAGCAGGACTAACCTTATTTGAAAATAAAAAGACCTGGTGATATTAAACAATCAAGTGCCAACTATTTTCCTAATATTTTTATGTGGGTGACTGAAATGTCATCCTTGTCTTATAAGATAAACTCTTTGACAATTCCTGACTAAAATAAAACTACTTGAGGAAATGATGATATTTTCAGCTTTAAGATCTGTTAATATGATGAGCTTAATTGGATGTTGCTAATTGAAGAAAACAGAAAACTTTGTTAAATTTTGATGTAGGAGACAGGAGTCTAAAAAGCTCAGAGCTGATACAGCTGGGGAGGGCAGGGTCTGTGGCAATGAGCACCCTAAGAGCAGAGAGTGCTACTTTGTTGCAGTTGGCTTTTGCAAATGAGGGACAAGTTTTGAATAGGAAACGGTAATAGGTCATTAAGATTTTTCTTCAAATGAATTTGTTAGATGGGCTTTACTGTGAAACTGCCCACTTAGATTAACAATTTGTTTTAGCAAAAGAGAATGCTCTTAATATGAATTTCAGTTCCTTTGGATTATTAATTTTTAACTTTTAAATATTAATTTGCACACTTAAGATGTATATGCAACAAATACAATGGGCACTGATGTACCCACCATGGACTTCAAGAAGGAAAGCATTGTAGATATGATTGAAACCTTCTGTCCTATTTTTCCACCTCCTCTCTGCCTTGTAACCTCATTCATAAATTTTCTTTGTATATTCATAAACATTGCCCAGTTTTGCGGCTAATGATATTTGTGCATAGCACTTCACATCCTTAACCCTTACATAAATAATATAATACAATATGTATCCTGTTGTAACTTGTGTTTGAGTTTTAATAACTCAACATTGTGTTTGTAAGGATGATCTATCTTGATGTGTGTCATTGTCACCGTAGTTCCCTAAATGCTACTGCTGGATGATAGCTCATTTTAGGAATCTATCATATCCATATTCTAATGGCAGTTTTTGCTATTATAAGTAATACTGTTATGAACATGTTTGTTGTGTCTTTTCACATATGCATATAATAATTTTTCTAGCTTATATACTACCCAGGAGTGAAATTCTGGATTGTAAAGTATAATGCATTCAGTATTTAGTGGTTCAACAGTTTACATGTAGCACTTGTGAGCTTTATGTGGTTGATGGCATAGAAGTTGGGGGTAGAGCAATGCTCATCAGAGGCCACAGGAAGTGAGGAGAAAGGGCAGGGAGAAGCTGATCAGTGGGTACAGAGTTATAGTTCCATACTTGTGAGAAGTTCTGGTGTGCTATTGCACCATAGGGTGACTCTAGATAGTGATAATGTAGCTGGAAGAAAGGATTTTAAATGTTTTAGCATAAAGAAATGACGTATATTTGATGGAATACGTAGGTTTATCTTGAACATTATACTATGTATACATGAGTGGAAATTTTATACAGTATCCCATAAATATGAACCAGTTTGTATTTATCAGTTAAAAAGAAGTATTAATTTAATCATATTTTCCTTGATCCATATCCTGGCAATGCTAGGTTTTATCAGATATTTTCATGTTATACAGTTTGAAGGGCACAGAATGATATCTTTATCATCATTTCAATTCATATTTTCTTGTACACTTACGTGGTTGAGCACCCTTTAGGAGGTTTATTTTCCATGCACATTTCCAATATGAATTGGTTACTTAAATATTTTACTCATTTTTAATTAGGCTTTCTTGATTTGTGTGTGTGTATGTCTATCGGGGTATTCTTGATTCAAATCCTTTGTCAGTTGTGTCTCATATTTTTACTCTTTAGTACATTTTTATGAAAAGAAACTACAATTTAGTAGTCAACTTCATCAATACTTTTCTTCATATGTTTTGTATTTAGTTTAAGAAAATCTTTACCACCTCAGGGTTCTCACTATATTTTTCTGTGTTGTATGCTAAAAGCTTCATAATTTTAGTTTTTCACGTTTCAGACTTTAAACCACTTGAAACTGATTTTCTGTATCATGTGGGGGTAGAGCTTAATGTGTTTATTCTTCCCTTTCTCCCAGTGGGATAAGTTATCATTTTAGA